TATTGTACTACATACTTGTAAGAGTAACAGAAAGAGATGTAAATATAGACTGAGTTTCATTTATTAGGTTATCCATATGTATATATGATATCTTAGAGTTACACGCTCTTACACTGCCCTCCCCCTAAAGGAGACTGCACTAGAAATAAAAAATATAGTAATGATACAATAATATGGAAAATATAATAAAGAAATGATAAGGATAAATGATAATAAAATGATAAAAATAAAAGATAAGATAATAAAATGAGTTTGTAATAACCCAGAGAACTAGAACTTTTAAAGATCCTTAATGTTGGATGTAGTCGTCTTAACAATATTTCTCTTCGCATTGTTGGTTACGAGTTCCAATGAGTAAGCATCCTTTTTCTTATTGACCTCGTAATTTTCCAAGGACCTGTGAACTTTGGTTCAGCAAATTTCCAATGATCTTTCATCTTGATCTTTAGAACCTTATCCCCCACCGAAAAAATTTCTTTTTCTTTTCTATTACGGTTGTAATATTTTTGTTGACTAGCCTGCGTACGTTGTATATTTGCCCTGAAGTTGTCTTGTAGAATCGGTAAATAATGGTTCAGGTATGCCAGCAATGACTTCGTGTTATAGTTTTGATACTGAACATCCGGTAACGACCCAAGAGCAGGTAGCTTCGCCTTCCTACCAAACATCGCCTCAAAAGGAGTCACTCCAGTAGACTTCTGCTTGGAAGTGTTAACTCCAAAAGTGACAAACGGCAAATAAAGATCCGACGATCTAGGGTCTTCCTCACAATACATCGATAAGCTTGTTTTGATAGTTCGATTCATCCTTTCCACTAGGCCATCAGATTGTGGGTGTTCCACGCTTGTTTCTACTTTATCAATTCCAAGACGTAGACATACTACCTTCATAGCCTCCGACACAAAACTTGACCTATTGTCGCTTATAAATTTTTTCGGTCTACCAAATACCAAGATAATAGCATATATCAAAACAGAAGCAATCGAATCCGTGTCAAATGTTGATAGAGCTGCTGTAACTGTCCACTTCGTGAAGTAATCCATGAATACCAACAGATATTTGTTTTTGCCATATGATTCCGGTAAAAAAGCAATATCTGCAGCCCAGATTTCGGTTGGGTAACCCACTTCGATACTAGTCATCTTCCTATACTTGTGCGTAGGAGTCTTGAACAATTTGCAAGTCGGACAATTCTTGACATAATTCTCGACATGCCTTGTCATTTTCCACCACCAGCCATTAACTTTGGCTTTCTCCAACGTCGTGTCACGACCCATGTGTCCACTCGTTGGATGACGGTGTATGGCCTCAAGAAAATCCTTGCGCAATGTTTCGGGAATTACCAATACCGGTCGATCTGGATCCTTTACCATTGTTATGCGACAAATCGAGCGCATTTCCAATTTTTCTTTCTTTTTAAACACCTACTAAAGTGCAATACACCTTTTCGGGCTTGCACCTGTCAAAACTACTTCTTTTCATCTTTTTCTTATCCTCAGATCTGTGACCTCTTAGTAGGCGCAATTACCTCAACCTCTTCTATAAATTTCCCCAATTTCTTTAATTTCAGTGACTGGATTATACGTCCATCACTATATATAGGCATCCATAAGACCTCTCCTAAATAAAAATCCTCATCTATTATCTTACTCATATTTCAACACTTTGACTTATTAGTTTTATATATTATTCAGCTCTATTATCCTTCTGATTGATCCCTTGATTACACTTTTATCATTGTATCTTTTATTTATAAGCATATAAGCTATACTTAAATCCATTTATTTTTTAACAGTTCAGCTTCTGTTTAAACTAGCTGTGGTGCTCACTCAACTCGCAATTATAAAGACCTTCTTTACTAAACTCTATTTTATTTAAAGAAATACTCCTTATCCCGCCAATAATACTCGTATACTCTTATTTCACTATGCATAAAATACCATCCTTCAATTTGAATTGTCTGGGTAATATTTTCTGTTTAAGCAGCTTTACTACTTGAGGATCCTCTCCCTGTCCCTTTATTAACGCTTCCGCTGGAGATAACTTCGAAGATTCCTGTGCCATAATCCGAGTTTTGTGTTCACCCGCTCTAACTGACTCATTGTCACCACCACCAATACCGCTCAAAGCGTCTGCATCCAAATTTTTACTTCCTTTTCTATGGAACAGAGTGAAATCATATTGCCAAATGTCAATAATCCACCTAGCAATTCGACCTTTTGGATCTTTAATATTCAATAAAGATTTCAACACTGCATGATCTGTATATATAACCAGAGTGGCGCCATGCACGTAACAATGAAAATATCTAAGTCCCCAAGCAACCGCTAAACATTCGCGTTCCGTAGTAGTATAATTCTGCTGAGCTGAATTTAATGTTCTTGACGCATACGCAATGGGCCTTCCCAACTGTAACAACACCGCCCCCACGGCAAAATCGGAGCCATCACAATGTAATTCGTATGGAATATCACTTCGAGGAAAAGCCAATTCTGGTAACGCCATAAGTTGTGTCTTCAACTCCTTAAACACTTTATCGCAGGTAGGTGACCAAAACCATTCCACTCCCTTCTTCAGTAACTTATACAACGGTGTGGCGAGATCTGCCAAATTTCTAATAAATTTGTGATAAAATGTACAGATACCCAAAAATTGCTGTAATGATTTAACATTCGTAGGAGCTGGCCATGACTTGATAGGCGCTGTCTTTTCCGGTTTGCTCTTGACACCAGAACCAGACACCACAAACCCCAAAAACCGGACTTCTCGTTGGAGGAACGCACATTTGGCTAAGTTAATCTTCAGATTTCAGTGGTCCAAGATACGTAAAACTTCCTGCACTTGACGCACATTTTCTACCCTTGACTTTGAATGAACCAGTATGTCGTCTAAATAAATTACCGTAAAAGAGGAAACACTATTTAGTAAGGTATTCAAGAACCTGGAAAAAGATGCGGGTGCATTGGTTAGTCCAAACGCCAAACAATTATACTCATATAATCCTTTCGATGTTCGAAAAGCTGTCTTGCAACGATCTTTCTCTCGAATGGGTATTTGCCAATATGCCGATTTCAAATCAATACTGCTAAACCACGAAGAACCAGCCAACTCGTCCATTAATGAATCCATTCTTTCGATCGGATACTTATCCTTCCGAGTGATCTGATTCAGTGGACGAAAATTTGTACAAAATCTTGCCGTTCTATCACTCTTCGGCACCACCACCGGATTTGATACCCATGGTGAATCGCTTATTCGAATAACCCCACGTTTCAACGTCTTCTCTACTTCTTCCAACACTACCTTTTCTTCCTTAGTGGATCGTTTAAAATTATTCGCGACCAAAGGTTGATGATCACCTGTATCTATGGTATGTTCAAAAGGAGCATTGGTGATAGTTTGTAATTCGGTTTCATCATATAGCTGTTGGTGTAAACTTAAAATATTTCTGATCTCCGTAGGGATGGTTTCTAACTTGTACTGCCCATCTGCTGTTTGAGACAAACTAACTGTTGATGGTTCGCAAATCCACGATCGAGGTATCAACCTCTTAAACAACGGATCGATCGCAACTTGTGTCTGAATGAGCCAATCCATACCGTATATAGTCGTCAGATTTTGTTTATCCACCACCCGGACATATACTGGTTCAAATACCATGCCTTGAATTTCGCAGGGTATCAAAACTGCTTCCCTTGAAACCGTACTCATACTGTTACCATAAGTGATTCGAATCGGAGGTGCTTGATATATCTCCAGGTTTAACCGACTCACTTCAGCTCGAGAAATTGTGCTGATTGTCGCACCTGTATCTACCAACACTTCCGTTATCAATACTGGATTGTCCTTGGCTTTGTAGACTTTTGCTTCGAGAATAAAGTTTTTCTTTTCATCACCCATGCCACCTTCCAAAACCGGGATAAACTGATCATTTGAGGAGTGCTCTCCATCGACTTGTTGACTGTGTGTGAAGAATTGAGAAAATAAATTATTAGTAATATCTAGCTCTAAATCGCTCTCAAGCCTCCCTTCATTACCGTCCTTGATAGGTTCCGCCTTTTGATGATGAGAACTAGCACCTTTAGACTTCTTTGATGAATCCTTATCCGCATTTTTAAATTTCTCTAGCAAACGGCAATCCTTGATGACATGATTCTCTTTTCCGCACGCATAACACTTCGCCTTGCTTTGCTTTTTACCCTTGTTATCGCTATGTCTCTTCTGATTGGAAAAATTTCCACGATGCTGTTGAGCATTTACGTCCACGTCCATTGGATCATCACCACGTGCATCAGCACCCAGAGGATTCCATGTACCAGTAGCAACCGGGCGAGGAACCTTTGCTGCACCAGAAGATACCAGATGCGGGAACTTGAACTTCATATTCCTTTCAATGTCGATCGCAATAGAAATAGCTTCGTTAATGGTCTTTGGACGAGCAGGTAGAAATGCTTCAGCTGTGGCTTTGCTGACTGCATTGTAGAAATAGTTCATCTGTAAAGGAAAATTGTCTTTACTGATAGTTGTTACTTCCAGTAATAGACGAGGTCCAAAAGTATTCATCGATTCAGAGCCTTGTTTCATTGTATGCATCTTAGCAATTGCTCTAGCCATGGCATCCGCTTCCCCACCGTAAAATTGGTTGAAGGCAGCCACCAGAGCGTCTAGATCTGTAGTTATTTTCTCAGATAACGTATCATACCAGGTACTAGCGTGTCCTTGCATGGCCATCATAAATTCGTCTAAGCATTCTTCGGATGTATATTTATGATATTTGATAGCCTTACGGAACTGACCTAACCACTGCTGAGCTGTAGGTGAACCAACACCAAAGAAAGGAGCCGTTGGAAATTTATTTTTCCTACCAGACGGTACCTTTTCACTCACCAGACGAGTTTCACCAGAGTTCACTCATTCAGTTTGAACCGTGAAAGCCTAATCCGCTCAATCAATGACGGAGTTGCTGAACCCACAGACTGGTTGTCCCACCCACCGGGTGATTAGTACTCAGATGACTGTTCATTCATTCCTTGGCTACCTAAACTTCTAACAGTTGACGTTGTTCTTCTTGGGGGTGATAACAACCCTGATGATAGCTTAGGGGATGCCTTGACAGCCTGCGATACATCATTCCTGAATACTTCTTCTGAGATAGATGAAGCTGTTGGTTTACGCGTAACATCTACATGTAACCTTTGATGCTCTAGATCTTGTGGAACTTTCTCCAATTGGGAACGAAGCTTGCGATTCTCTTCTCTAAGTTGATCAAAAACTGATTGCGTGCTGACTAGTTCAATATCTGCTTGTTCAGCACGATTGACACATTCGATACAACGATCGTTCAATCCTATTAATTGAGTCTTATATCCTAAGATTGCACTGTCCTTTTCAAGACCTTGTTGGTGAGCTATTTCCAACTGACGTCTCAAATCAGATACATCCGCCTGAAGTTGTTTGACCATGTTCTGAGTGTCTTTCAACTGTTCAGCGTGGATATCACCTTGTGCTTGCAATTGTTGAGAATAAAACCCTTTTAACTCTTCCATTTGACTTTGGTGACATTCAGCAGTGCGTGTTCTTTCCGGCTCCTCTCGAATCATAACTTTCTTCATTTGTTGGTCAAAATGATTTTCCATGTTCGCTTGCCACATAGCATGTTGTTCCTTGAGAGAATCCATCTCTTCCACATGTTTCGACGCCATTAACTCGTATAATTGACGGATGTCAGATGACGTTTGACTTGGCAACGCCAGTGTCCATAAAGAACCCTGTTCTTCGGTAGGATTACTCATTAAGACAGAAAAATAAACAAAGAAATTATAAACAAATATGCAATAAGGGACGTATGTTAGGCAAATAAAAATACGTTTTAAGCTACTCCACCAATGTAAGAGTAACAGAAAGAGATGTAAATATAGACTGAGCTTCATTTATTAGGTTATCCATATGTATATATGATATCTTAGAGTTACACACTCTTACAATACTACTGTACATCAAAATGCCTGCACCTAGTAAAAGAACTTTAGCAATTCGCAATAGATTAAGATATACAACTGGTAAAATTATGGCTATCGAATAAATAGCTGAAACTGTCGAAGAAGATTAGATTGTCTGCGAAGAGGATACCAACTGTGTTAAACACACATACAATGAAAATCATCGGTGATTCAAATTTATATAAATTATCAAATTTGGAATTCTGACACATTGAATACAATGGAAGAGCCGATAGAAAATATTATTAGAAATCATTGAAGCAATCTGTCGGCGACAAGGTACTCTTGAATTCCTGTAGAATTCATTAGCCAAGATAATTTATGGACTAGCAATTCTAATAACAGTCAGCTTTGAAAAGAGTATAAATAGACCCCGTTATTTCATAGTTAAAACTTCAGTGAAATAAAGTAACAAGGACTTATAATCGTACCTATCGTACCATTGTTTTTCTTATATACTTTATATGTTTTTATCAAATTAGAAGTAATTGATTTGTAGCACCAACGACCTTCTCAAACATACGGAGCGTATCGCTACACCCAAAACATCAATAAAGCACTTTTCGATGATGGAACATCTTCCAAATAAACTAAAAATGGTCATTACCATAAGACTTCAGCAATAACCATTTCGAGAAAAAAAAATCAAGCAAAGACTGTAGAACCTGCTAATACTATCTTGAATTTTGGTGACACTATTTCCTACGACTCTCGCGCTGAAGAAAAAGAGCAGTACGTGACTCATACCAAGAAAGAGCTTGAAAAAAGTAGAGTTTTGTTCAAGGATATGCCAATTATTGCTAAGCCAGTAATGAACAAATCGCTCGATGGTAGTAACGTGGATTCATACAATCATATCCGCTATGTGTCTGTTCAGCAATACTTTCAAAACCGATTGGAAGGTTTGACAAATCACGAGGCAGCTAAAAAATCAGGAAATTCTCTTTGGCCCAATTGCTTTAAATTTTACCGACATAAAGCAATTATCAAGTGGGTAAATGAATTCCTTGAAAATCAAGTCTTGTCCAACTATAGTCAAGTTGTTCACGCTAAACGTGTCTCTTTCGTAGCTGATAACGACGTTAAGACCAAGGTTTTGGATATGATCAAGAAGACTACTGCCAATTACAGAACAGTAGATAATATTAAAACATTTATCGACGAGGACGTTATTCCTGCCACTCTCGGTGTTACTAGAAGCGTTGGTAAAACTACGGTGGCCAGATATCTTTACGAAGGGCTATTTTTACCGTAAAAACAAAAAGGCTATTTTTTTCGATGGTCACGAGAGACCTGATGTCGTCGAATATAGACAAGCTTGGAGTAAACGCATGTTAAAATACATGGAGCGTTCTGAACTTTATTAAGGTGACAACCAAGAAGAGGTGTTGGAACCTGTTTTGAAAGATGGTGAAAAGAAGATTGTTTTGTAACCCACGATGAAAGCACTTTTTATGTAAACGATGGAAAAAGCGACTTCTGTCTTACTAGCGACGAAAAATACATTCGTAAAAAAGGGCCTGGATCTTCCATCATGATCAGTGAGTTCCAGTGCCCTTGTCATGGAACTATGAAGAGTGGCGCTTGGACCTCAAGAAGGTACTTTAAGGCCGGTGGTGATAGAGAAGGTTGGTGGACATATAAACACATGATCGAGCAGCTCAAAGATGACGCGATTGAGCTTTTTGAGCTTCTCCATCCCAATTGCGTTCGTGTCCGCACGCATCTTTCCCTCCGTACAAAAACTTTAGTTTTGTACGACACAAAAGATATCAAGCAATTATAACAATCTCTACCCCTTCAGAACTAACAAAGACCCCTCAACCTAACCTGATTCGCATTCGACGTTCAAAGACTTACCTGTCACACTCGAAGGACACCGAACAAAACTACCCATTAGGTGCAGATTCTCAGGAATCTTCAACACATCTCACAGAAACCACTGATAGAATAGTCGACTCTGACGCTACTTCTGTAACAACAGTTGAACCTGCTCTCTTAACTTGCAAACAAGCAATCAAACGACCTTTTCTTGCTTCTACTATTGTAAAGCTGTTTGACGACAACATCACCCGCTGCAAAAAATCCACTGTCACCAGTAATTCTACCATTGTTAGACTTCACCCACACGACCACTACAAAATGCAAAACAACATGCTTCCCAGTATTAGCTTGACACCGGCCTATAAAGACGGTGATACCAGCCCTGCACCCCCATCGGACGCTAATCCCACGGACAAGGATGACTCGTCAATGTAGATCAATTCTCAATTTGCTGATACCACCACGGACCTCTTCTCTCGAAGTAGTCTACCCGAGGTACCTATCAGCAACACTTCACCAACTAATGAGACACCTAGATGGGCTTCCGTCATGCAAGCTCAAATTAGGTGCTTCTCAAGCAAACGGGGCCGACAAAGGTTTGTCGAGAACTAATTTGGTTCAAAACTTTAATAAAGTTTATCCGAACAACTTTGACCTTTTTTGGTAAACGAAATACTGATTTCAATCCCAAATGCTAAACGAACCATAATTCATGCGTTTTGAGATAATACTATTGCTTCTTTTTTCCTTTGCTTTAACACATTTTTATACTAAATATGAATAACAACAACTTGAATCTCGAAGAATTTTCTGATGACGAATTAGCTCTGTTAGCTATTCAACATTTAAGCGAAATGAATGCTATGGAAGTACATGCTGCAGCTGCCATAGCTGAGCGAACACGAAATATCAACTACCAGACTCAAGTCATTCGCAATTGCGCAATTGAATATAACGCGACAGTTCATGCCTTCGACCAATATATTCTTAATATAGACGACGACATGAGACTCTTTCTCAACATGACCAACCCAACTCATTTGCAATGCAGAGTTAGATACCCTCGTTTGGAAAGCAACAAAGGGTTCTGGGACGTCTGGCACCCAAACCTCATTGATGACGAAGTTAATAGCTCACGACCAACAATGACGTTCAAGTATCATTATCGTATGTCTCGTAGAACGTTTTCTTGGTTAGTTCAACTGTTGTCTGAGCATCCAGCATTCCAGTTACTTGCTCATAACGCTACACCAGTATACCAGCAAGTAGCTTGTATTCTCTGGAGATTTGGAAGCTGCCATATGGGATACATGATGCAGAAAAGCTTTTTTGGTTTTGGTCAAGGATCCTATAACAACTTTACGAATAGGTTTCTTGATGCAATGACAGGCCTCACAAATACGATGATTGTTTGGCCCAAAACCCAGGCGCAAGTGGAGGAAACTGCCAGGGGATTTGAATATCCCAACGGTCCTGAGCTAACAGCACCCGAAAACAAAAAGTTGCCTGGTTGTATTGGTGTCGTTGACGGAAAGCTTATTCAAGTCTATAAGCCCCGTCAGAACCCTGAGAGCTACAGGGATAGAAAAGGAAACATTTGCATTAACTTGCTTGCCGTTTGTGATAGCTCTCAACGATTCACATATGTTTACGCTGGTGAAACTGGTAAATATCACATTAAGTATGTTTGATCGATAATATGAAATCTAAAAATATTTTATTAGGGCGCACACACGATGCGAGAATGTTCAATCGAAGTGAGTTGAGAAGTTACTGTCGTAACCCCGATATTTATTTTAAGAATGACAGTTATATTCTCGGAGGTAGGTGATATAAATGAGATATTTATATGATTTGAACTAATAATTTTTGTATACAGATTCTGTCAGAAACAGAACAAGAACAGAAAGAAGACTACTTGGTGACACGAGAGTCAGAGTGAAAATGATAAATAAAGAAGTTTATTTCAGAGAAGGGGGAGGGGTTAGGACTAAGATCCAGAATAACGTTTTTCTAATAAATAACTAGCATCTATTTATACTATTTCTTATACATGGGAAAAGCTACGATGGGTTTAAATTATAGATTAACAAGGGACTTTACGGAACAGATATCATGAGCAGATTATTTGACAAGGATGAGTAATTGAGATTCGACGAGTAATAGCAGGCTGGATTTAGTTGACATTGAATAATTAGATGGTTCGGGGAATATCTCTGATTTGACACGGGCGGGAAAACTGGATTGGGATATGAAGTAATAGATGATCGGAAAAAGGTTTACTAAGGTTGAGTCAGACAAGAGGCGGGAAATATATTGGAATACAGATTGGTGGTAGGTTTTACAAGGAATTCAGAAAGCGGGCAAGATATACAGATATGATTTTGGGTACAAGGTTTTACAGGGAGTTTGGTAGCGGACAAGGTATACTGATATTAGATTTTAGGACAAGGTTTCACAAGGGTTTAAAATCAAGGCATGATCTAGGACATGATGAAATGAGTTCATGACAGATTCTGGATTTATGTTGAGAAACAATTGTCTCATTCCTTATAAAGAACGAGATTTACGACAGGGAGATGCGGGTGTCCAGAGAGATCGGTCGAAGTACAACACCCTGCAATCAACAATGAGAACTGGAATCGAGAGATGTTTTGCACACTTGGTGAATCGATGGAGATTTCTCTTCAAGTATGTTTACGTTAAAGATCCTGTGATGTGTGTAAAAGTTGTAAACGCTGCTTGTATTTTGCATAACATATGCAAGAATATGTATGACGAGGACTCGTTTCACGATCATGTCTTTCGCATTCGAGGTACTGTGGTGAATCCCCAAAGTGATATTGTTTTGGAGCTTTCAACAAACTTAAGTGCACGCAATTTTGAGGAAATGGGGTCAGTATTTGATGAGAGTGAAGATCAGGACGTGGATACAACAAGAGAGAGGAACTTCTTAGGGATGCCAAAAC